GAGGAGCCTGCTTGAGACTGACTCACTCTCTCTCTCTCTCTCTCCTCCCTCGGCCCTTCTCTCCTGTCCATGCTCTCTCTCAGTCTAAAATGAGTGAAACAAACAAGTAAATAAAGTACAATGTACTGAAAAAAAGAAAGGCTAAAAATTAAATAGTTAAAAACTAGAAAAAAGAACAGCAAATACACGCAAAGTAAGCAGAAGAAAAAAAGAGTAGAAATTAATACAATAGAAAATAAATACTAAAGACCAAAGAGCCCAAAGTTGGTTCTCTGAAAAAGGGACAAAGTGCAAATTAGCAATACCAAGAATCTTTAGAAGGAAATATCACAACAGCTGCTGCAGGTAGAAAGGAACCACTTGACACTTATCACTTGGAAAGTTTGGGTGGTCTGGGCAAATTCCTAGAAAACAAAATGCCTTATCTAAATAGACACAAGAAGAAAATCCTATTTTCACATTAAAAAAAAGAATGAATCTAAAATTAAATACCTTCTCACAAGGAAAACCCTACGCCACCAGGTTTTGCCTACCAATTCTTCCAAAAAGTAAAGAAAACATAAACCCTTCTGGCAAAGCACAAGGAGCACCTCCCCCCTTGTTTTATGAGAGCAGCATAGCCTTAACTCCAAATCCCCACCAGGACAGTATAAGAAAGTACAACTGAAGACCCACCCCCTCTTTCATGATACACATGTAAGAATCCAAAGCAAAATACTAACAAATAAAGTCCAGTGAAAAGAGAATACACTCAGATCGGGTTGGGATTATTCTAGAAGGGCAAAACATTTTTTTTTTTAAGTTAAACCACATCAGAAAAAAAAAAAACAAAAACACCTGGCCCAAAAGATGCAGAAAACACATTTAAGAAAATTTAATATTATAATTTAATTGATGATTTAAAACAAAAAATCTTAGCAAACTAAAAATCGAAGAATTTTCTTATTTTGATAAAAATATCTACCAGTAAAGCCACGGCAGGTGTCATACATAGTGATAAAATACTGAAAGCTTTGGGGCACCTGAGTGGCTTAGTCAGTTAAGCATCCAACTCTTGACTTCAGCTCAGGTCATGATCTCACAGTTCATGAGTTCAAGCCCCACATCAGACTCCGTGCTGACAGTGCGGAGTTGGCTTGGGATTCTTTCTCTCTCCCCCTCTCTCTTGTCCTTCCCCTACGCACTCTCTCTCTAAATAAATAAATCAACTTTAAAATATATTAAAGATCACCTTGCTGGAAACAAAAGCAAACATGAACTATTGGGACTTCATCAAAATAAAAAGCTTCTGCACAGCAAAGGAAACAACGAGCAAAACTAAAAGGCAGCGGACGGCATGGGAGAAGATATTTGCAAATGACATATCGAATAAAGGGTAAGTATCCAAAATCTATAAAGAACTTATCAAATTCAACACCCAAAAAACAAAGATTCCAGTGAAAAAATGCGCAAAAGACACAAACAGACACCTCTCCAAAGAAGATGTCCAGATGGCCAACAGACACAGGAAAAGATGCTCAACATCACTCATCATCAGGGAGCTGCAAATCAAAACCACAATGAAATACCACCTCATAGCCATCAGAATGGCCGACATTAACAACTCAGGCAACGACAGATGGCGGCGAGGATGCGGAGGAAGAGGCTCTTCTGCGCTGCTGGTGGGAATGCGAACTGGTGCGGCCGCTCTGGAAAACAGTGTGGAGGTTCCTCAAAAAATGAAAAAGAGAACTGCCCTGTGACCCAGCAACTGCACCACTAGGTATTTACCCAAGGGATCCAGGAGCGCTGTTTCGAAGGGGCACGTGCATCTCAGTGTTTACAGCAGCGCTATCGACAACAGCCCGTGTTTGGAAAGAGCCCAGATGTCCATCAACGGACGGATGGATAAAGAAGATGTGGTTTATGTATACAATGGAGTATTACTCACCGATCAAAAAGAACGAAATCCTGCCATTTGCAACTACGTGGATGGAACCAGAGGGCACTGTGCTAAGCTAAGTCAGTCTCAGAAAAACATCACATGATGTCACCCACATGAGGACTTTAAGACACACAACAGATGAACATGAGTGAAAGGCAGCAAAAATAATATAAAACAGGGAGGGGGACAAAACGTAAGAGACTCTTACATACAGACAACAGGGTTACTGGAGGGGCTGCGGGAGGGGGAGGGGCCCGAAGGAATCTCCTCCTGAAGTCACTGCTGCACCAGGCGCCAACTGAGATGTAAAGTAAAAAACAACTAAATTTAATAAAAAGGTCACCTTGCTATAAAGAAAATACTGAAAGCCGTTTTTCTAGCACCTGGAAGGAGACAAGGACACCTATTCCCCCACCTCCATCCAACACTGGACTGAGGTCCCAGCCAGCCCAGGGCACGGAAGACAGAGATGGTTATAGTACTTCGAAAGAAACAGGAGAAACGAATCAAAAGACGAGACCGAGAGAATGAAAGGCAGACGCCAGAGCGTAAAAACATGTGTCCTTCACAGATGTGTGCAAGCGTGCAGAGAGCTCCTTCCCACCAAGAAAAAGCAAAACAGACGACCCATCACAAATGGGCAAAAGGCAATTATTTCCCAGAAGAAGGCCTGCAAATGGCTGAGAGGCGCGCATGCACACACAACACGCGCACACACACACACACACACACACACACACACACACACACGGGGGCAGCTCCCAAGGGCGCAGCAGTTCACACCTCCCTGCCCAGCACCCGAGCGCCCGCACACGGCTGCCTGCGGTGGACAGACATGGGCCTCTGGCGCCCGCTCCTCCGAGCACACCCGACCGAGCCGCGCACCCTCGAGCACCGGCAGGACAAAGAACGCGCCGTGGGGTGAGCTCACACGCGGGGCCCTCGGCAGCGGCCGGGCACGGGCACAGCCGCACAAGGAAAGCAGGCGCATCGCACAGACACAGCGCTGAAGGGTCAGCCCGCCAGGAAGCCCGGAACACGCCAAAGCCATCAATGCTGAAGAGCCAGGACCGTGGTGAGCTCTGGGGGACAGTTGCTGGGAGTGGGCAGGAGGGGGCTTCTGGGAAGCTCGGCAAGGTTCCATTTCTTCATCCAGGTGGTGGCTACAAGAATGTGTTCGCTGAGTGAAAAATTCATAATCGTAAATGTACGTTTCAGCCAATTTTTCTGATTCTGTACAGTTACAATTTTTTTTAATGCTTTATTTATTTTTTGAGAGAGAGAGAGAGAGAGACAGCGTGAGCAGAGGAGGGTCAGAGAGAGAGGGAGACACAGAATCTGAAGCAGGTTCCAGGCTCTGAGCCGGCAGTCAGCACAGAGCCCGACGCGGGGCTCAAACCCACGAACCGAGAGATCATGACCCGAGCCAAAGTCGGACGTTTAACTGACTGAGCCACCAGGGCACCCCTACAGTTACAATTTTTTAAAGAGTGTTCGTACTTGCCTAGACGACATGCCTGCAGCTGCACTCACTTTATTTACACACCTATGTGCCCACGCTGTCGGTCGCCAAACATGAGGCAGGGATTGGGGAAGGGAAAGGTCCACACGGAAGTTGACTTAAAGGTTCCCACGTTTCTGAAATGCTGGTCTCAGGTGCTCAGGGGAAGTGGGGAGGTGGGGCGGTGGGGGCGCAGGGAGATGCCCTGCTGGCGGGGAGGCAGGGAGACAGGGAGGCCAGCACTGCATTCTCTACTCAGCAAAGCACTCCCAGGCTGGGACACTGGGCCGCAGCTGAAAACAAATCAGCAAGCAGCCGCGCCACCCCGCTGGTGTGACAACCTGCACCGCATGAGACCGCATTGCACAAAACTGCTGTCCCCTCCATCGTGTCACTATGCTGTGTGTGCTCATTCTTTCAAACACCGACCTGGGCAAGCACAGAAGCATCTGACACGCGCTTCAGGACACCACCTCAAGCTACACTGAACCAAACACAAGTACAAAACAAAGCAACAAAAAGTACAGAAAAATTTACAAGCCCGCTGAAATCCCGGGAGAGCCTCATGTGGCCCGCGTCCCGCGCTCCCGGAGGTAAAGCCTGGCCGGGACACCCCGGATGATTTGTGAGGCTCGCGTGGGAAAGCCATGAAGGTCCTCTGCCCCAACAGCAAAGGAGCGCGACAGCAGTAACATCAAGTTGTTGCTGCTGAAAAGGAGATGCAAACGTCCGGCTTACCAATCCGTCAGGGGAAGCGCGCTCCGGCTGGCAATCACTGGCTGGCCAACCACACAGGTGGCCATGGCGGGGGCATAGGCGTCACGCCGTATCCGGGGTAAGCCCGGTGGCACCGAGACGGTGGATGACGGCCCAACGGCCCCCGTGTCTCCCGCACACCTGGTGCCACTCACCTTCCACCTGCCTGGGTGATGTTTTCCGCCCTCACCTATCATCACATCCTCGCTTGGCAACCCGAGCAAAAGCCACGAAACGCCAGGCCCAAGGTGACCTACTCAGGTGAAAAACTTCAGTGCTATCGCAAGCCCGAGGCTGCTCATCAGCCACAGGGAAAGTTCCAAGGGAATCCGCCTGGGTCTTACGGCCCGACGACACCTTGGATTTACAAACACGGGCGTTCTTACACAGACGGGCTTCCTGGGAGGCCCATCCTGTCTGTCCACTAAATTCCACCTGAAAACTGGAAATCTGTGACAAAACCCGGGCGAAGTACTCATTTGGCAGGAAATGGCCTAAGGCGGCAGAATGGAAGGCACCCGCAGCCCGGCTGCCGCGTGGCCCTGTCCCCAGATCTCCAGGGCACCCACCGCCCCACACCTCAGTAGTCCCTTCTGCTTCCTGGAGAAAGGATCAGGACTTCCGAGTTGCGCAGAGTCCAGAGCCCGCTCCCCGGGGACTTGACTCTGTCCGGAAGTGATGTACGACAGCCAGAACCGCCACTTCACCAGCGGTTACGCACGACACCCGCCTAAGATGTGAACCCCACGGAAGACGCCCCCGCGACACGACATCTGGAGGGAGATCGCCCATTGGGGCACGGATGAGAGGCCCCCGCACCTGAGGAAGAGCAGTGTTGAGCTGTCTCTGCAAGGAGTCTCTCTCGTGGCCGACCTCCTGCAGCTTGCCCTGGGTCAACGCCAGCGTCTCCTGAGTCTCTCGCAGCGCGTCCAGGAGGCGGTCCCGCTCTTCCAGCATCGACACCATCAGCTGCTCGAAGTGTGAATCCGCGTCCGGCTGCGAGGGGGAGCCTGACCCATGGGTCCCGCTCCCCCCGGGCGGGCCTTCCGCTTCACTGATGGTCGGCATCACCTCGCACATCATCTTGAAACAAAAGACCCAGGCAACCGTCATCCAGTGCAAGCCAAAGGCTCCCGCAGGTCCTTGGCTGACGCACTAAAGGTCGAGAGCTTCCCTACTCTCGGATCCCGCTGTTCCGCTCGGAACAGACAAGAAGCCGGGAAAACACAAATCCGAGGTGCCAGGACACGCGAGATGAACCCATCAACAGGGACAATAATCCAGTTCAGGGGTGGAGACCCAAGGCAGCCCCCGCCCCCTCCCCACGGACAAACCCGTGGCATTTTGTCTGCAGAGCTGTACTTTCTGGCCGTGGAAAACAAGTGTGCTTCTGTAAACTTTTTCTCCTCCCGATTTCCCGATGGGGGAGAGAGAAAGGCAAGACCCGCGCCACCCAATCACCGCTCAAGAAAAGCACAGAAGGAGCACAGAGCCAGCAAACCTGACAAATACAAAATCCACCAGGCATCTTACAGGAATGTGTGCAGTCAGCTCCTGAGAAGGGCTGACGGCGCCCCCAATTCTCGGGCTGGATTTGGGGAGGCGCTAAAACGAACTAGATTCGTTAAGGGGCCGGGAAGGTGTTTTCCCAGGGCTGCCAACGGGCAGCGGGCAGTCAACCTAACTTACGTAAGTTAACAGCCAAAAACAAAAAGAGAGAGAGAAAACTTCCACAAATGAGGCAGGTCGCTCCAGCCGTGGACGGCCAGGAAGGAAGAAAAGTGCGAGGGGACAGCGCCGAGCCGCTCTGAGGTGTCCCCCGCGGCACGCCGGCGACAACGACCTCCGCCCCACTCGCGGCCGCGCCGGGCGCCGCAGAGCCGCCGGACCCCGGGGCGGGGACAACCGCTGACAACCGGAGCGCAGCCCGGGTCGCCGCTCCTCCCGGCCACGGGTCCTCGGGCCCCGCGCCCGGCGCCGGGGTGACCGGGGCGCCGCGGTCAGGGGAAGGGGCGGCGCGCGGCCGCAGGAGCCCGGCGCTCGGGGCGCGTCCGCCGGGGGTCCCGCCCGGGGGTGCTGACAGCGAGCGCCCAGCAGCCGCCGCGGGGAGGGGGCCGGCGCCCGGCGCGCCCTCGGCCCCCCTCCGCCCCGAGCCCGCCTCGGTGTCCCGCTCCCTTACCTTGCTCGCCGGCGGGAGCGGGCGAGGAGGCTCCGCGGCGGCTCGCGGGCGGCTGCTCGCTCCGGGCGAGCTCGGGGCCCGACGAAGGCAGCCCGCGCCCGCGCCCGCCGGCCCCGGGCCCGCAGCCCCCAGTCACTAAGGCCGGCCCGCGGCCGGACACTGGCGGAGCGCAGGAGGAGCGGGCCCGGCTGCGCGTCGCCGGCGTCAACGTGCCCGACGTCGGGCGCGTCGGCGCGGCGTCAGCGCCGAGCGCCGAGCGCCGCAGGCCGGCCCCGCCCCCTGCGAGGACAGCGGTGGAGGCCGAGTGCGCAAGCGCCGCCCTCTCAGGTGGGCGGGCCGGGCCTCCCGGGAGCCGATTGGCTGAGTGCCTCCGGAGCCCCGCCCCTGCCCAGGTAGGGGTCTCGTGGAAGCAGCAGTTTCCGGGCCGAGGGCCGAGGGCCGAGGGCCCCGCTCCCCAGAGGGCACCTGCTCCGTATATCCTCGTACAGCCGCGGGGACGCCGGGGGCCGGCAACGAGCGTCGTCTGCGCATCAGCTTCTGCGCCAGACCCTTGCCGGACGTCCTGTCCAGACACTTTACCGGAGGGCGCGCCCAGGCGCGAGCCACCTGCTGGCTGCGGCCCTGGGGACCCCCTTACAGGACGCCCAAGACGCGGTTTCTGTGCGGGGGTGGGGGGGGGCTGTCCGAGGCCTACCTGCTGTACCTGCGGAGGCCCAGGTGGGCAGCGCTGGGTGCGGAGGCTCCTGGGCGCTGCGCGGGCAGCTGGTTCAACTCCCTGCACGTGCTTCAACCCGCAGTGTGGGTCTGGGCCGCTCAGGGGAGCCCGCGGGGGCTCAGTGCCCCCTCTGCAGGATGGGAGAATGACACAGACCGGCCCCACGGCTGTTGTCGCACGGAGAATCGGACCGTGGTCGTGTTCATCCTTGTCCTTATTCGTATTCATGGTTCGTACCTAAACTTTTGAAAACACCTGTTGCGTGCCCAGCCCTATACCAGATCTTGCAGACGCAGAGGATGATAAACACACCTTTCATGAACTAGAGCAGGTGCTCCCTCTTCACGGTTTGACCCCTGGAGCACAAACTTCACAAGCCAACATGTCAGAGCATTGCCGCCAGGCGCTACTGGCTACTGCCTGTCCGTGGGGAGGCAGCCAGGAGCCCCTGAACTAACCCAAGTCTAAGTGAGGTTTGCATGGGAGCTGGTGCACCCTTCCAAGGTGGATTCCTTGATTCCCATTGTGAGCTCACCAAAAATGGGTGCTACCTCCGATTCGATTTATCTCCTTGGGTCCAGAACCACACTTTTCATTCATCCATGTATTCATTCATTGAATAAATATTGACTACACTTAACTATGAATTTGCACCCCCTGACCAGGGTCTGGAACAGAGGGAATCTTCCAGCTCTCCTCAAGTGCACCAGCTTAATTCATCCAGCCCATATTTGCACCACACTCATAAAGTATCTGTCTCCCAAGAAATCAACATGATGCCAATATTTAGTTCAATGTGTGGAACGTACATTCATTTCGTGAACATGCACAGAGCACCGTTTTCCAGGCACGGTCTAGGTTTTGGGAACACAGAGCTGTTTAAGATATTGCTTCCCCCAGTTCACAGCCTGGAGGGGAGATGAGAAACAGGCTATTACAATGTCTATTACAATGTCATGTTACAAGTATGTGACTCAGAGCTGTGGGGCTCCACAGTTAGGAAGAACCAACTTTTCAGCTGGCATCACAGAAAGGGCTTCACAAAGGAGATATCATCTGAGCTGTGTCGAGAAGGATGAGCAGTTTTCCAAGCATAGAAGGGAGAAGCCCATTGGTAAGCTCCAGGAAAATGAGATCCCAGATTTCACACATCTGCATTCATTCATTCATTTCCCCCCGGATTGTAAAATCAGTCAGGGCAAAATTGTAAACAATTTAAATGACCACCAAAAACAGATTGATTAAATCTTTACACTTTTGGGGAGCCTAGGTGGCTCAGTCATTTAGGTGTCCGACTCTTGAATTCACCATAGGTCATGATCCCAGGGTCGTGCGATCAAGGCCCACATCAAGTTCCTCACTGAGCACGGAGCCTGTTTAAGATTCTCTCTCTCTCTCTCTCTCTCTCTCTCTCTGTCCCCTCCCCCCACCCCCTCTCTCTCTGTCTCTCAAAAAAAAAAAAAAAAAAGAACGAATCATGGAAAATGCCTTTTGGGAGACTAAAATGACTTCTACATGTATCTATCTGTACCACCTGACTAAACTATTTCCCAAAGTATCCCAGAAATAGTTGACAGATTGGGTTGCGTCCTTGTAAGGCTCAGGCAGAAAAAGAATGAGCAGGGAAAATGTTTTTGCTCCAATTCTCCTGTTGAAAGCTTGATAAAGAAAGTACAGTACTATGGAAGGGGATAGAGAGTTCATACTGTGCCCAGGGTTGTGTTTTCGCAAAGGTGCCCACCAGCATCAGCTCTCTGGATGATGTAGTTTTTGTCAACTTTGAGCATGACCTGGGCCACGTCTCCTTTCTAGGCATGTAAGCAGCTCAGAAGGAGGGTTCTTGTAAGGTCTGCGTGTCCCACATCTATCTGGAGTATGAAAAACAGGGGCACCTGGGAGCCTCAGTCAGTTAAGCATCCGATTTCAGCTCAGGTCATGATCTCACGGTTCGTGGATTCAGGCCCCGCGTCAGGCTCTGTGCTGACAGCTCGGAGCCTGGAGCCTATTTCAGATTCTCTGTCTCCCTCTCACTCTCAGCCTCTCCCCTGCTTATGCTCTGTGTCTCCCTGTCTCTCAAAAATAAATTAATGTTAAAAACATTTTTTTGGAATATGTAAAACAGCCTAATGAAGGATGGTGTGACAGTATGGTTCTGGGAAAGTCTGAGCTGGGGGTGGGTGGCCAATATGTGGTCCCCTGTTGAAGAGGAGGAAACTGAAGCCCAGAGATGCAAAAGGGGTTTGCCCACAGACACCCAGGAGTTTAGAGCAGATTTGGAACTGGAGCCATTAGTGAGCCAGGGGCCTTTGATCCCTGATGCAGTCAGTATGCTGTTAGGACCATGGAGTGTTGTTCTCTTGAAGGGAAAGCCAGGGTAAGCATTCTACCGGTGGGTCTCCAGTGCTGCCCAGGCAATCCAGTCTCTGTGGAAGAGGTGGGGTCCTGGGCTCGGTGACGTCAGTCATCAGAGTCTATTCTGTTTGGGGTTCCCGAGTGTCCCTGCTCAGGTGGTGGTCAGTGAGCAGGAAGGGAAAGAAAGAGAATCATTGCACTTGTTTGTCTCCTTTAGTTCTTTTTATTTATTTACTTATTTTGAGAGAGAGAGAGCGCACACATGAGCAAGTGAGGGAGGGGCAGAGAGAGAGGGAGAGAGAATCCCAAGCAGGATCTATGCTGTCGAGAGCTGAAATCAAGAGTCGGACCCTTAACTGACTGAGCCACCCAGATGCCCCTCATCCAGTAAATTCCCCACATGGCTGTTCCTGTGTCCTGCCCATTATGCAACTGAGGAGACTGAGGACCAAGCGGTTGGTGAGCAGGAGAGACTGTCAGTCAGAATGTTCCGGAATTGCCATGACAATTCTATTTCTCACGGTCAACCAATACTGAAGTTTTTGATCCGTGGAGGAGCCCTTCAGGAGGTTAGGTGATGTGTGTTCACTCCTGTGAGCACCGATGGGAAAATCGCCTTTGCAGAACATTTTATGGAGACCCATGGCCCCCTATAACCTCGCTCGATGCTCACAGGTACATCCTACATCCTATTACAATGAGGACATCGAGACTCAGCAGGTCAGCTTACTTGTCCAGCTGATGATTTGGTTGAAGTTGGGGCTTGAACCCAAGACTGCCTCCAAAGCCAGTTTTCTTGATGCTACATCAAAAAGCTGTGCCCAGACCCCCAAAGCTGGTGACAAAACCTCTGGGCCAGTGCTGGACCACCAAGGTACTGACCCCGATCCTGCTGAGGGTCCATGGGCGTCCCGGCCACCTGGTCTGAAAGGTGCCACGTTGTCCCAGCACGATGCCAGACCCAGGGAGCCACCAGCTCCGAGAGCACCTCAAGTCTTCCCCACGGGCATGAAGAATTCCGTCCCCTTCTATATAATTGTATTTTAAAAGCAAGTCATATGATTTTTGCAACTTGTTTCTCTTGACAACTTCCTTGTGTTGATCAGACAGAGCCAATCGTAAAAATGCCCAGGAGAAGATCCCAGAGAGGTAGTTCAAATGCTCTGAGGGCTAGGCTCCAGCCTTGACCTTGACCTCAGGCAAGGTCCACAACCCATACTAAGCCTCAGTATCCTCATCTGTCAATCAGGGATGAAAATGGTCACACAGACCAACACGCTGAGACTTTGGGAACTCACGGCTGGAAATAAGGGGTGACTGCCCTGGACCCACATTGGGCTCTCTGCCCGGTCACCATTTCCCTCTGCGAACGGCGCTTTCTCACAGTCGCTATAAACATAGAGTCTGGAGCTGGGTGGTCTGGTTGAAACCTTGGCTCCGCTTCCTTTTGCTCTGCCTGTGTACTGTTAGGCAAGCTGCGTGAACTCTCTGGGCCTCCAATTCCTCATTCCTGAAGAGGGATGATAGCGCCGCCTCAGAGCGCGGCGGTGAGGGTTAAGTGAACCTGGAAAGACTCACTAGGTCATCACTAACGGAAGTCGTTTCGTCTGGGTCTTGCCCAACCTCCTGGAGGATCAGGATTGGTCTGAGTCCGCTGCGTTCTCATCGGCGCCATATAAGGGGCAGTGTGCGGGGTCTTCTGGGGCTTTCCTCTGTGATGAACGAGAGAGAGCTGTGCGGGGAGAAAGTCCCTGGCTGCGTGGAGGATGTGTGACTGGGCGCCGTGACCGCCATCTTGAGGCCACAAGACATCTTGAGACAGTGCCCAGCATGTTTCCAGACGAACTCCTCTTCCCACCTTTCTCGGAAAACTGTGTGTTTCCCAACCCCAGAGAGCCAGAAAGACCAATCCAAAAAATCCACAGAAAGAGAAAAGTAGATGATCGCTCTCTTCGTAGAGTTAAACCTGAGCACCACGAGGAGGCCAGTGGCCGAGCAAGTCAAAGCAAGGACAGGAAACACTGTCACGTGGACTGAAGGACAGGGTTGGCAGCTCGGAACCAGACAGAAGTGGCATTTTTGGCACGTGGAACAGCACCAGGGCTGCCGCTGGCCGCCACCT